CGCTTTATCTAGGGCCTATGAGGAGGGGGTGGTAGAAGTGGGTGCCATGACTCATCAGCCGGAAACTGCCGATGCCTGGTACCTTCAGAAGTATAGAGAAGTATGCCAGGATCCACATTCTCAACCTACCTGGAAGGTAGTCGGAGGGAGATTGTATCACTACAATCCGGCTGAGGGGAGCGAAGGGTCCATCGACAACGAGGAAGCCTGGAAGCTAGTAGTTCCTGCCGAGAAGAGGCATCAAGTACTCGAGGAGGTGCACGATGCGCAAGCAGCGGGACACCAGGGGAGAGAACGAACGTTCTCCCGGGCTAGGCACCTGTATTTCTGGCCAAAGATGTACGATCAGGTCAGAGAGTACGTGAGGAGTTGCCCGGTATGTCAGCAATGCAAGGCGGAGCAAAGGCCGCCTTGCGGGCTGATGGGTCGTCGAGAGGTCTCGCGACCCTGGCAGGTGGTGGCCAGTGACATTACTGGCCCCTTCCCGAAGAGCTCGAGAGGGTTCGAGTACATTTTGGTCTTTTTGGACCTGTTCACTCGGTGGGTGGAGTGCGTACCCGTACGTAAGGCCAACGGAAGGACCATCGTACGGGAATTGCACGAGAGGGTAGTAACCAGGTTTGGGGCGCCAGAGATTTTTCTTTCGGACAACGGGACCGAATTTAAAAACCAAGAGGTCGATGCCTACCTGTCGAGGAACGGCATCCGACGCGCCCTTACCCCAGTTTACCACCCGCAGGCAAACCCCACAGAGCGAGTGAACAAAACCCTCAAGGCCATGCTCATATCGTACGTGGAGCGGGACCATAAGAGCTGGGACGAGCACCTGCCAGAATTCAACTTTGCGTTGAACTCGGCAACTCACAGCGCGACAGGTTACAGCCCGGCCAGGCTGGTCTTCGGGAGACAGCCCACTCCCCCCTCGACCTTTAGGAGGGCCCAGGATCAGTTGGCCCGGGAAGCTTCCGAGGGCCAAGAACTGACCGAATGGGGCGACCACATGCGCCAGTTACCCAATTTGTGGGAACGTGCTGGCTCTAAGTCCAGGGAGGAGGCGGCCCATCAGGCGGTCTATTACAACCGGAGGAGACGTCAGGCCGACTTTAGGGTTGGGGACTGGGTGTGGAAGCGGAACCGCATCTTGTCATCCGCAGCTCAGGGCGTTTCGGCGAAGTTGGCGCCGAAGTATGCTGGTCCCTACGTAATTCAGGAGGTATGTGGGACGAATACCTATCGCCTAGGTAACCAGCAGGAAGAGTTGCCCGAGCTGATCCACGCCAAGGACCTCAAGCCCTATTTCGGTCCATTCTCAGATGAGGACAACGTGGAACCAGGAGGCGGGGACTCAGCACCGTTGGAGGAAGAGGAGAGCGTAGGCGACCCGCCAGTGAAGGTCGAGGAATCCAGCGAGGATCCGATATGCGAGCGCGTCGCGAATGCAGCCCCCGCGAACGAGCGTGAGAAACCCGCGGAGGCTCCAGAGGTACCGGTCGAGGCGCCGGCTAAGCGAGGCCGAGGTAGGCCGCGCAAGAACCCCGCGTGCGAACCTCGGGAACCAGGTGGAGACGACCTGGATGGCAATGCGGTAAGGGGAAGGGGCAGACCACGTAGAACCGCTCAGCACGTGCGGAAGGTGGTACTGCCAGCTACCCCCGCAAATGGGCCATGTTCGCGGGGAAAGCGTCGGGGACAGGGACGTCCTCGTAAACAATAGCGTCGAGCGTCACACGGCGACGGGTAGGTTAAGGGCTGAGCCTGAGAAATCCCTTGACCCCACTTCTTCTCTTTTACAGATGGAGAGGAAGCTGGTCATCAGTGAAGAGGCCCTCGAGACGGCCACCCAACGGCTGCTCGACCTGGGATTGGGTCCGGGCGCCGATCGGCTGATCGGCGACCTCCGTAGGTTCGTCCGGGCCCAGGTCGAGGTGGCCGCTCGCGAGGGCCGCTCGCGCCAGCGGGTGGACGACTTCCTTCGGGAAGCCATGAGGCCCCCGGTCAGAAGGCCCAAGACCAGGGAAGCGTCCACCCAGACCGACGGTCCATCCGAAGAGGGCCGTCGGTCTCAGTCCACGCAGGACCAGGGTGTGCAGACCCAAGGGTCGAGCTCGGCAACGACGGAGAGCTCGACCCAGTGCCCCGGGCCAAGGGAGGCCTGCGGCCAGCAGCAGTGGGTCTGCAACCACCCACGGGTCCCCCAGCAAGATGGGCTGGTAAACTCCTGGAGGCACGTGAGGTTGGGCCTCCAGGAGTTAGAAAATGCCTGGGAGTTTGTCGGGGAACTCCAGCGCCAGGTACATGCACACCTGGGGGAGTTCCTCGACTTCCGCGGCGCCCAAGAAATGCTGGGGGAGTGGGCTCCGGTAGTCCGGCGGCAGAGGGCCTATGGTGAGGCCCTCCTGCGCGTAGACCGGGGGCAGGAGTCCCCAGAGGCCGCGGGCCCGCCGGCGGTGTTACCACCGGCGGCCCCGACGAGCAGGGACGCGGCCAGGACTCCGGCCAAGCTCCCGACCAAGACTCAGCCCAAGAGAGTCTCGGGGGCCCCCGGTGCCGGACAGGAGTTCACGGTCCGCGTGGACGGGTCGGTTTCCGACCCTACCGTGGTGGTGCGTACCATGGGGGGACGCACATCCGCCACGGTGGGCGGCGTCACATTCATCGCCGCCTCGGCAGCAGCAGCCGCGCCGCCCCAACAACCAGCAGGAAGCCAGGACCATGGGGCGGAGCCCGGCCTCATCAGAAGACCGGGCAGGGGCTGCTACATCTGCGGCCATCCCGGCATCACAACGACCTCCAAGTGCCCCAACAAGTCGGAGCACTGGCGCTACCCCAGACACAAAGCGCCAGGGGGCTCCGGCAGGTGACGTGGGGGAGTGGTGGCCCGGGATGGGCAAATAAAGCCGTGTTTCAAAGAGGATGGATTGTGCTGATTTCGCTCCTTTCCCAATCCTGTCCTTAGGGTCGCGAGTCAATGGGGTAGTTCGATCCGGTAGTTCGAAGCTAGGAGGGGGCTGCAACGATTACCGAAAATCGTAAGACTCGCGCGAGGTAATGAGCGGCTAAACGAGAGTAGCCGCGCTCGGTTCGCGAGAGAGAGAGAGAGCGTAGGGGCAATGACCGGGAGGGGAGGGTCCGACCGGTAGTATGACTGTGCCACTCAGTCTGGTCGCCGGCCGATCTAACCTCCAACCTTCCCGAGTTTTCTCGTGAGTTTCTCGTTCGTGCGAATTGACATTGCGAACTTGCGTGGGTGTGTGCTAGCAGCAGCAGCAGCAGCAGCAGCAGCAACTGCAGTAGCAGCAGCAGTAACAGCATTAGTAGCAGCAACAACAATAGCGGCAACGGTTAAGAGGCAGCGTAGCGAGCATCGAGGAGTCGTCTATCAACTTGTTGTTCGGATACGGTTGGCCACCGTATCCTCATCGATATCGCGGTAGGTGCACCTTAATTCCCGTTGTTAATTATTATAATTTGCGTGCGAATCCGCGCAGCGAGCGCGAAGAATTTGTTTATTGCGTGCGAGCAGGTAGTTCGCGGTAATCGCGGTATATTTTTTCTCTCTCTCTCGATCAGCGTGTGTTGTCATTCACGCGTGCGTGCGTAAGTCTCTCGGCCAATTCCCCGTGTAATTTAATTAGCTTAATAAAGTGTATCTTAATCATTATTTCCGAGTTTGATAGTCGTTATTGTGTCTTTCCTTTGTCCGGAGGTCGCGCCAGTGTTTATTTTCAGGGGATTCGAATTCGCCGGTTGCGAAGCACGAATCGAGCGATTATCGATAGACGCGAGTCGATGACTTAGGTTCCGGTGGCGGCCGCACGAGCGCTACTAGTAAGAGCGACAGCGCCGCCAAGTGGCGAGTTGGGGGAACCCAACTCGGAATAGCGAAGAGACTCTGCGCAGGCGCACTCCGAGGCAAGGTAGGTTACTGTGCTTTGAGCACATAGATAACTAGGCGTCGTCTGGTCACTTTTAGGTATATCTAAGGATTTATTGATTAGACGGCAGCCTGTTACATCTTATCTATATAATCAAAGTAATAAAATCCAGTGTCTAATGTAACATAACTTTTAACATTTTTTATAATTAGAAGTATTAATCAACTATTTATTACAGAGAGAGAGAGAGAGAGAGAGAGAGAGAGAGAGAGAGAGAGAAATTATAATCATAACAAATAGTTTAACCTCATAAGTTTTGTTACTTACCAATTACCAAATGAGTAGAATTATTCACATCCACCAGTATAATTAATCACGTTCACGGAACCCGCGACCAGTAATAAACGAGGACGATATAAAACTTTTATTTGTACAACTCTTTAAAATTAATAATTAAGGCTAGAAGCAATAAGCACTTATAGAATGATTCTTACATCTGGCACTTCCAAACAAGAACTGGCGCGGATCATGATTTAAGCCACTGCGCAGCTATGCCTGCGCCGGTCGATTATATGATTTTTAAGAGAACTCTAATTATGAAAAATAAACTAAAACTTACATTTTTCAAACTACAGTAAAAAAAACTAAGCCATTTATAATAAAATACAAATATATTTTATTGACAACTGTACGGAACTCATAAAACTAATACATATTTCGATTTTAATAACTTTATTATTATACATTTATATATTTTTAAATAACTATTGGAATAGCATACATAATCATAAGATACATTTTTCTTCATTATTTTGTGTACTAAACTTTGGCACTTCCTTATTTATATCAGTCATTATATAATCTTTAGCGCTTCCTTATTTATATCAGTCATTATATATAGCTATCCTCCTGTTAGTAGTATGTATTTTAAAAATAATTATTAAGCTACAATAGACTTAGTATAAAATTTTTTTATAGAATCAAAATCAAAAGCAAATTTGAAATATAGTCATTACGAAAAAAGAATTATCGAAGGGAAGTAAGTTAACATTTTTTCTTAATGGTCCACTTACATTTTAAATAAATATTAAAAAGAACGTAACTTTTTTTCTTATTTTTTTTTGCTAAACATTAATTGAAAATAAATAAACTACTCATTCTTTTTGCGCTCAACTTCCATTGATAAGTTTGACAAATTTTGAATTTCTACAAGACGTTGTTTCTTATTTAATAGTAGGGTAGAATTATTAGTAGCCGTTGAATCACACCTCTTCAAAGGTTTATTTGCGTGCGCAACTATAGCTTCATCCAGTTTGTCTTCTTTCTCTAGTATTTCTATACAAGACATGTTGCGACACTGGAGACGTGTATTTCCTAAATAAAATATGTCAAAATAAAAAAAAAACTCAATTTCTAAAGTGGATATGTAGAATCGGCCCATTATCGCTCCCGCGACCCTTGATGTAATACTATTAATCTAATATGGAAATTTACCATTGTGGTATACGTTCGCTGTAACCATGACAGGCATTCCTTTTGCTAATTTATTTGAATCTTCTAGTTTAAAAGAATTGACTGTGAGAGGAACTTTATGGATTCCATCAGTAATAGTGCCAGTGCCAAATTTTAAAATCCCTTCTTTGTTATAAGCAGGCGTGATCACTGTTTTCATAAAGGCTTTGACTTCTGCAAGATAAAATTAAAGTTTCAATTAGAACAATTGAAAGAACAAAAATTTATACAAAAAAACTTCATCAACTCACTAATTTCGCCTCTATTCTTAATCAAATCAGAAAATGGAATAACAGGAATAGTTGCAACTGGTTTTGCAATTTTTTCAACAACATGAAAACCACACGTTGATATTTTGGAACCTTTCTGAATTATTATTTCATAGTTAACCAAATTCAACTACTTATGAATTCTTTTAGTGCGTACAACGTGGCCTTCGCAAGCATCCAAATGTACTATCTAGAAAAAGAAATCAATATCAATACATTAAATAGTACATACATATACAGTATAACGAGTGAGATTGCCAACCCGTTATATCTCTCTCTCCCTAGTAATGATATGTAAATATAACATATTTCTCCGAACTTATCCTATATATTTATGAATTTATTATGTTTATATTCATTTATCATTAATATTTATATATGTAATTACCCTTCGGCTCGAATATAAGGTAAGAGAGTGAGAGAGACACGAGTACGCAGGGATACTTCCGCGCGCGACCGCGAGGCGCGGAGAGAGAGAGAGAGAGACATAGTCGCGCTTTAGCGAGTGACCGCGGACACTAATCGACGAGAGGCAGGGCAGAAAGAAATCGAGAGCCGAGCAGGCAACTCGCTAGAGAGCTGTTATCGTGCAGATTTGTCAGCGGGCAGGTAGATTCCTTCGTCTCAACGACTTCCCCTGCTCGCATCTTCGTGGTGACCTGGTGCTTCCCTCTTCTTCGATCTCGGAGTTGTGGCCTTTATCCGGAGAAGAGTTGCGACATCGCCCGGCCCTGTAGAGGATCTACGCTCGCGTGCTGTAGCTGTTAGAGCGGGAGTTCGTCAGCAGGAAACGAGCCGCGGAGTGCACGTGGTGCCCGATAATTTGTGCGTGTGCGTTGACGCAAACTGTGCGACTCGTTTGCGTATCTAGAGGACGAGCACCGTCATTGTAAGTACCTGCTAGTTGGTTTACTCTCTCTCTATCCGTTCTCTCAGCGTACTCTCTCCCTCCTTCCGACCGCTTTTGTTAACTTATACTGATTAAAAATACTGTTTACCGTTAGTCTCTTTTATTTAATCGTACCCCGACGCCTTATTCAAACGCTCCGCCCTTTCGCGCCTACACCCGCTTTCGAATCTTCGGCTTTTGCGTTCTTCAGCCAACACTACGAATCTGCGCGGATTCGGCTGCCCTGTCACCGGCGTGACGAACACCGGACCTGAGAAGACGGACAGTCCAGGAGGCTTCAGACTTCGCCCGGACATTCCTCATTTAACTTTAGTTACTTCCTTTTTTATATTTACGGGGCTAACCGGGCTAAATCCCCGTTATAACAGACACAGACAAACACAAGCGCACTGACACACACATATATATATATATATATTTATACGCACTTGTCCAGTAATGAAAAATCCTTGAAATTTATCAATGACCTCGAGGCCCCAGATTAATAAAAATAATCTCTTGGAGCCATTAGTAATTACTGCCCGAAATAAGTCCTTGTCATTTTTTTCTCCAACTTTAGACACGCCAAAAATTTCTGCCAGGTACCCTATAAACTCTCTAAACAATAATAAAATATTGTTCGGAATACTGTGCGCATGTGCGCGGGAGCTTGCCGCGCCGTCTTCGCTGTGCGGCGCTGCTCAACTGGCGTGCTCTGCATTACAGCTATATCCTATCATCGACTCGGAGCTCTGCTACTTTCTTCTTGTTCATTTTGTGTTATCTTTGATTTGTGATTTAGTTAATAAAATTAGAGTTTGCATATCTTTAGAGAAAAGTATTTGTATAGTCTTACTTATATATATATTCATATATAAAATAAAAGGTGATTGTTATTTTCAATTTATCCCAGTAATCCAACAGGTTATCGGCCCTGCCACGCTTCCGCTGCGCAGCAAAAGGAAAAATTGTGAATCATAGAGGTATGGTAAAAAATTATTAATGTGAGCTGAAAAGAATCTACCTGAGCAACACGAGTTCGCGATAAATAACAAAAAAAAAAGCAAAGTGAGCTAATAAGCACACGGAAAGTGTCGCATTCCGAATACGCAAAATACTCGAAGAACGAATATTTTTTTACTTAACATTTAGTCAGTCGTAGACTAATAAAAATATCGAGCGCGTAATCATTAGAAAAGAAACGGAATAACATATTAGAACGAATTAATAAGAGGGCTGGAATTCTAGAGTAAATTTACGACATTAATAAAATTGCAGAATAGTGCGGTTTTTCTGTCGCGTTTTATCGTGCAGTGGCGTAAAGACAGAAGAATAGAGGCAAACACAGACGATGCTAAAGTGAGAGAGGAGCTGTACAGTATTAAAATCAATAAACAGGATAAAGTTTCAGTATTCATAGATAAATTTGATTCAATTATTAGAGAATATGAACTATGCGATACAGCCATTCCCCTCACTGACGCAGAGAAAACGTCTGCCTTTATGAAAGCTGTGAAAGATACATATCCACGGATCAGAGAAATGGATATAATTACGAAACAGACCAAAGGTAGAGGAATGAACTTTGAAGAAATGAAAAATTTCATCCGACAGCTCGAAGCCGATCTGCGAAGTTCCGGCGCTGCGTAGGGAGCCTCCGCTAACGTGGCTAGACCGAGTGCTGCAGCCACGGCCGGTGCTGGTCTCAGCGGCAAGTGTTTTAGATGTGATCGATTCAATGTCGATCACGTCTCTGACTCTTGCCCGCTGATCCAGTACGGGCTGTGGTTCTGCTACATATGCAGAGATTTTGCACATCACACAGGCAGAACCTGTCCACGTGGAGACGGGTCGCACCGTGGTGGAGAGTATGTTGCAAATAATAATAATAATAACAATAGAGAGTCAAAAGAATCAAAAGGAAGAGTTAATTATAGAGGTAACAGGGGAAAATATAATAGAGGTAACGGTAATAGTAAAAGAGGCAAAGGTTATTACGATAATAATAGAGATAACAAAAGTCGTAACCCTAGAGGTCGCAATAACGGTAGAGTAGGCAAACGTGGCGCAAGCAGAACCTACTACCCAAGTGGAGACAAAAATAAACAGAAACTGGCGAACGCTGCAGTAGCACTTACTGAAGGTAAGAATAACATTGATACAATAAACAATAAAATAACCTTCCTATTAGATTCCGGAGCCACAGAACATATTATAAACAAAGCTTTCATCTTGCGATACTTTAAGAAAAGTTCAGGAACTTATATTAAAAGTGCGAATAAAAACAAATCGGCTGATATCGAGATAGACGGAAAAGGAGACTTATACCTAAAGAGCTTAAACAATGAAGGTCATACCATTAGACTATCCAATGTTATAGCAGCCCCTGATATATCCGAAAATCTAATGTCCCTTAGGAAATTTGTCGATGCTGGATTTAGTATATATCTAGATGACAAAAATTTAAAAATATTCGATAAAAATGACGGATCTAATTTTCTAACCGGGTACTATAAGAAACCAAACTGGCTTATACAATTAGAAGTAAAGAATAAAATAGAGAATCCGGATAGACAAACGTACAATAAATATTATTGTAGAGCACGGTTAATAACGCTAGAAAATATTTCAAAAGACCCACAAAATGTAGAAACAGAAAACAATAAAGACATAGATTCAGAAGTTGGGAGGGAGTTAGTTACAAATGAATCTATACCTAAACTTAGCCAATATAGAGACTTCGAAAATTATTCACTAGATGATCTTAAGAACGAAAAACCAATGGATGATATATTCACGTCTTTCGAACTCGAGAAAAGATATTCAGAGGAGTTAGATGAAGGGATGTTGTGGCATGTAAGACTAGGACACCCATCATATGATTACCTATTAAAATTGCAAAAGATAAATAAAGAACTTAGCAATGTAAAATTTAATGAAAATATTAAGAACTGTGAAGTATGCACAATGTCCAAAATGAGTAAACAACCTTTTAAAGAAATAAGAACTAGAGCCGATCATCCACTTCAACTAACTCACACCGATATAATAGGTCCATTTAAAACAATTACTTATCCTGGTCGAAAGAAATATATAATAGCTTTCATAGACGATTTTTCGAAATTTGCCAAAACGTATGCAATAACAAACAAATCTGAAGCAGGAGAATGCTTAGAAAACTATTTAAATACCATGAGGAATTTGACAGGTAAGAATTTGAGAGCTTGCTATAGAAGAGCAGATAACGCTAGGGAATTTACAGGAGGAGAATTTCTAGAAGTCATGAAAAGGGAAAATTTAAAGTCAAATTTTTCGAATCCATATACACCTCCCCATAATGGTACTGCTGAAAGATTCAACAGAACTACAGTGCCGCTCACGCACTTTTACCCCCCCACGGGCAAAATCAGACTAACTTCAAAGTTTTATATCTCTGGTAGAAATTAATGTACAGAGACGCGCGTGGATGCGTTTGAAAGGTCTTTCGGAGAGCTTTCAAATGATATGACTCACGGTTGCCATCGATTGTTTTTTTAAATTTTGCAACAATTATGCAAAATTGAAAATTCTGAAATTTTTTTATTATTTTTCACAATTAGCCAATTTTGGAAAAAAAATCGTACGAAAATTTGAAGTACACCATTTTTTAGCTATTACCAAGCCCTATCTGAATCACTCATCAAAAATTTATTTTCGTCAAATATGACGCGCGCACGGGCATTTTTTCCTGGAAGTGACAGTTTTTTTCAACATTTTTTATCTCCGTCAAATTGTAACAATCGAAAAAAATTTATAGGAGAAAAAAATGTTTGTTTTTTCACGTAGAATACTGCAATAATTTTTTTTTTGGTTTTTCGAAAAATTTTTTTTTTCGGTTTTTTTCAATTTTTTTTTCTCACAGTCGGTACGCTAAAAAGATGAGAAACCACAAAAAAAAATTTTTTTCCACCCATTCAATAATACTACATAACAAGAATCGTAAATTACATAAAAAAAAAAATCTTTTTTTTTTCGACCTTGAAAAATAATTTAAACCGAAAAAAAAAATTTTTCGAAAAACCAAAAAAAAAATTATTGCTGTATTCTACGTGAAACAACAAACATTTGTTCTCCTATAAATTTTTTTCGATTGTTATAATTTGACGGAGATAAAAAATGTTGAAAAAAACTGTCACTTCCAGGAAAAAATGCCCGTGCGCGCGTCATATTTGACGAAAATAAATTTTTGATGAGTGATTCAGATAGGGCTTGGTAATAGCTAAAAAATGGTGTACTTCAAATTTTCGTACGATTTTTTTTCCAAAATTGGCTAATTGTCAAAAATAATAAAAAAATTTCAGAATTTTCAATTTTGCATAATTGTTGCAAAATTTAAAAAAACAATCGATGGCAACCGTGAGTCATATCATTTGAAAGCTCTCCGAAAGACCTTTCAAACGCACCCACGCGCGTCTGTGTACGTTAATTTCTACCAGAGATATAAAACTTTGAAGTTAGACTGATTTTGCCCGTGGGGGGGTAAAAGTGCGTGAGCGGCACTGTATATTAGAAAAATTAAGATCATTAATGATAGATTCAGGACTACCAAAGTCTTTATGGAACTTAGCCCTGGAAGTAGCTGTAGATGTATATAATAGAACTCCAAATTCGTCTATAGAATTCAAAACTCCTTTGAATACGATATCCCCTAATAAGAAAAATCATTTAGAAAAGATCAGGCGTTTTGGATGTATAGCTTATGCAAAGAAACCATTATCTGAAAACAAATTATCCGAAAAGGCTATAAAAGGAATTTTAGTAGGACAAACCAGTAATGGATATATACTATGGCATCCTCAGTCCGGAAAATTAATTCTAACCAAACATGTGAAATTCCGGGAAAAATTAACTTATAAAAATATTGACAAACATGAAGAAATTACTAGAGAATGGAATAAGGATTCAAACTCTATTCCAAATGACAATGATAAAGAAACACCAGAGGAGACCATGGATATATTCAATACCGGTAACTCGGAAAACAGAAAACAATTAGAGACAAATAAAACCAACAAGAGAAAAAGAATAATTGATCGCATATCAGAAAAACATAATAGAGTGCAGCCTAAACGAAACAGCAAGATAAAACGAGACTACAAAGCCATGTCAGAAGGAAAGGCTAATCTAGTAGATAACAGTTTTGCCTTTATAACTCAATATAATGAAACCGAAGTATTGGGAGAAGATGAAAAATGTTATTGTTTGATGGCTACGCTAAACTCTGACCCAACCAATTATAAAGAAGCTATGGAGACTAAAGATAAAATGAACTGGTCTA